TTAAAAACAGCAGGTTTTAGTTCTTCAGGTGCGCGTGTGCGAGGGCCCATCCGATGGGACCTTCTCTGACTCTTGTGCGCACATGACATTTGCCGAACAGATTATGCAGTTAGTAATTTGCGCAATAATTACCGGGTGCTGTTGTCCCGGTGGCGGGGTGTGTCTAATTGTCTAACAGGACTGTAAGTTTGTGGGCCGCTCTCACCTCGTTAGGTCTCCTACCCCGTCTGCCGGTCCTCGTCTGTGATGAGCAGGGCTCAGGTGTGCGGGTTTACCTCCCCATTGAGCACGTTAAGCCTTAATTACAGGGTAGAACAGGGGAGGAAAGAGGGGGGCGGAATATTAACTGACTTCCTGTCAGTGACGGGCAGATGGGTTCTGTGGGGAACTGTGGGATTTGGATGCGTCAGCCACACGGACAGACTGAAAAACAGATAAACAGAGAGACAGGGAGGTCGTGGGTGGGTGAAGAACAAAACACTAATGATCATTACTCTGAGGGGAATTATCTAGAAACAAGGTGAATCCAGCTGTCGGTTTGATCGCACCTTTGCGTGTGGACGTCCTGGACTCGCTCTGCTATGAAATCTACGATTGTATTTTGTGATATTAATTTGTTCCATGCCGGTTTTCTCCCAGTTTTGTGCTGGATTGATTGTCTAACGTGGAGTTTTCCCTCTCTTTGTCTTCTCTTGCAGATTCTTTTTGCTTTTTCTCTCTCCACACACATCCTAATGTTAAAAACAGGCTTGCTGGGGTAGCTGTATGGTGTATCGCTTGGTGGATATATTTAAATGACCTGCCTGGACCCGGTCGAAGGCCAGAACTGTCTCCTCCAGAGATGCTTTGATTCTGCAATTCTGCTGAAGCACATTTAAAATGTTATACATATAAAAATAAAACCTCCGTATGTACTGTATCTATCTATCTATCTATCTATCTATCTATCTATCTATCTATCTATCTATCTATCATCATTTCATAATTTTATCTATCATTCTGTCATTCTATAATGCTATCATTCTATACATATTTTCTTATGTAAAGGTCTATACTCCACAAATGTATCTAGGCTATAAATATCTACACTATTTTCATGCATTTATGGATGTACCATCCAATCACAGAAGGTATTATTAGATCCAGTACACAGAAAGGCCGCAGCCTTGGACTTCATTATGTGTGTGTGTGTGTGTGTGTGTGTGTGTGTGTGTGTGTGTGTGTGTGTGTGTGTGTATCACAGA